TAATAAAAAAAAGACGCAGTGATGTTTTCATTAACACAATAAAAAAATATTTTTAAATGCCAAGAAGCATTGAAAGTACCACCTAAATGATATGACCACCTCCCACGTCCCTAGGTGTATCATATATACATGTTTCTTTTTTGTTTCAAATACCAAAATGCATATGAGTTGATTTTTTAATTACAAAAAAATTATTGTGAAAAAATAAAAACACTCATTAACCTCAGACTTAAATATTTTTATTTTAAGAGTATTTTTATTATTTTATTATGCATTTTAATTATTTATATTTGATTAAATATTAAATTACCTCTCAGGTTAAATTATAATAATGAAAAATTTATTGGGAAAATATAGAAATGCTCCTTCACCCAACTTTAAACTTTTTTAAACAAACTAGAAAACCACTTAAGACATGTGTTGTACTAATAAAAAAAAGTCGCAGTGATGTTTTCATTAGCATAATAAAAAAGTATTTTTAAATGCCGAGAAGCATCAGAAATACCACCTAAATGATATGACCACCTCCCACGTCCCTAGGTGTATCATATATACATGTTTCTTTTTTGTTTCAAATACCAAAATGCATATGAGTTGATTTTTTAATTACAAAAAAATTATTGTGAAAAAATAAAAACACTCATTAACCTCAAGCTTAAATATTTTTATTTTAAGGGTATTTTTATTATTTTATTGTGCATTTTAATTATTTATATTTGATTAAATATCAAATTACCTCTCAGGTTAAATTATAATAATGAAAAATTTATTGGGAAAATATAGAAATGCTCCTTCACCCAACTTTAAACTTTTTTAAACTTTTTTTGTTTTCAATAATATTTTGATTGTTTTACTATGAAATCAAGATTAAAAAATATTTATTCATGATCAATTTAAAAATAATGACTAAATTATGTAGAAAGATTTTAGTATTTTCAAAAGCTATTATAAATATCAAGAGGTAAAAATATTATTATACTTGTTTAATAAATAGTGCTCGTGGGGGTTTTAGGTTTACAAGGAAAGGTGAACATTTAACCAAAAAATTAACCTAATTATTTTAAAAAGCTTAAATATTTTTATTTTAAGGGTATTTTTATTATTTTATTGTGCATTTTAATTATTTATATTTGATTAAATATCAAATTACCTCTCAGGTTAAATTATAATAATGAAAAATTTATTGGGAAAATATAGAAATGCTCCTTCACCCAACTTTAAACTTTTTTTGTTTTCAATAATATTTTGATTGTTTTACTATGAAATCAAGATTAAAAAAAATATTTATTCATAATCAATTTAAAAATAATGACTAAATTATGTAGAAAGATTTTAGTATTTTCAAAAGCTATTATAAATATCAAGAGGTAAAAATATTATTATACTTGTTTAATAAATAGTGCTCGTGGGGGTTTTAGGTTTACAAGGTGAACATTTAACCAAAAAATTAACCTAATTATTTTAAAACATATAATAAAGGTTAAAAAAATTCTATCTAATATTCTAACACTCGTGCTAAATGTTTCTTATTTTGTACATGCTAACATTTATTAATTATAACTAAAATTTATTAGTGTTTTATTGTAATATGAGTTACTCTATATTGTAAATATTTTTATTATGAATTGCACTATTCTATATTATAATTAGAATAATATAAGATATAAGTGTTTTTATTATGGACTACACTGTTTGGTAGAAATGTGATAAGGCTGCAGCTTGCAAGCCCCATGCCTTAAGCTGGAGGCATGCCTACTAGGATTGTGGACACCTGATGTTTAGCTACTAGGTCTGGGTATTGGATAAGCTATGCTCTCCTAATCGCACTCCTGGCTGTAGTCACCTGGCACTTGATTTGTCTAGTCTTGGGCACTGAGAGCAAACCCACATGCCTGGCTGCAGCCTCAAGATGAGTGGGTCTTCATACAGGTGACCCTGGGATCTGCAGGCCCGTGAGGCAAGGACTAGAGACCAGAGCGCCTGGGGTTGTAGCCTGTAGGTCCCAAGCGTCAGGCTGGATGTATGTCCACTGAGGCTACGAACACCTGGCACGTGGCTATCAAGCCTTCACATTGCGCAGGCACACCCTCCTTAGCCGTGCTCTAGGCTACAACCACCTGGCATGTGGTTTGTCAGGCCTTCGACGCTAGGGGCAGACCCGCATGCTTGGCTGCAACTCCAGGACAAGCGGCCCTGCAACCCCGTGATTTTGGGGTTTGCAAACCCACGAGGCAGGACTCAAAAGTATTGGGTCCAAGAGATAAGATTAATGTTCTTGGATCTTGGGTCGTGTTATAAATATTATTATTTTTGTTATAATTCAATAATTCTAATTATTAATATAAAAATATTACAATTTATGTTATAAATATTCTTGAATTTCTTAATATAATTATTTGCATTACAAATATTATTATTTTTCTTATAATTTAACATATTCATATCAAAGATATTATCATTTGTGTTATAATATTATTATTTTTATAATAATTCAATTTTTTAATATAAAAAATATTATTATTTGTGTTAGATATATTGTTGGGTTTCTAAATATAATTATTTGTGTTATAAATAGTATTATTATTACCATAAAAGAAAAACCATACATTTTTTAAAATGATTAAAAAAATATAAAAAATTGGATAAAAAAATTAAATATTATTATTAATATTATAAAATAGTTATGTTGAGTTCAACATTGTGCAGGACCCCAATAGTCTTGGGTCATGCAGGTTGCAGGATTCAAAATAGCCTGGGGTTCGGCCGGGTACAGTACCCAAATAGCCTAGAGTCCTGCATGCTATAAGACCCAACATAGTCTTGGATCTGGCCAGGTAGACAACCTAAATAACTTTGGGTCTTGATCGCAGCAAGACCTGAATATCTGCATGGTCCAAAATAACCTTGGATCTGGTCATGTATAGGATCCAAATAATCTTAGGTCCTGGCCTTGACAGGACCCGAATAGCCTTAGGTCCTGTCATTGTCAAGACCTAAATTTTTATGAAAATAAAAGGTGATTTTGCAGCATAGCGTAAATCACGTAACTAATATTATATTGATTGTGGAAGTTGTTTTAATGTAATTTAGTTGCTATAGTGGATTTAAAAATATCCTAGTTGACTTGGTATGTGTTAAGATAGTTCAATTGATTAGTAAAAAATATTTGAGGATGAAATTAATAAAATTAAAAGAAAAAACTTATTGATCTAACTTTTTACTTAATCTGAATTTAATACTAAACTATGTGGAAGTTGTTTTGATGTAATCTAGTTAATTTAAAAACAACTAGGATACTTATTAAAAAATAAATATGAAATTGAAAATAAAAAGGGGAAATGAAAAAAAAAGATTCATTATTTACATGAGTAATAATAAATAAAATTAAATAAAAAAAAAAGAAAAAAAAAAAGGCGGAACGAAGAGGGGAGAAATAAACAGTCAGGAAAAGAACGATAGCAGGAGAGTAAGATTGAGTTATTTTTTTAACTATATTAAAATAATATGTTTTTTAATTATTAAAAATTATATTTAATATTGATATATTAAATAATTTAAAAATACTAAAATTATATTAAATTTAAATAAATTTTTTTAAAATATTGATTGGACTGTGTTTCAAATAGTGTCTAAAAATAAGTTGAGTGTAAAATGTATTTTTTTTGTCGGTTTGCAGAATTTATAGTTTTTATATATATGTTAAAAAGCAATTTATCATTCAAACAAACGAACACATTTTTCATTAACAGAAAATTTTGTTATTTTTTAAATATATTAAAATAATATATATTTTTTATTTTTAAAAAATTATTTTTAAAATTAACGTATCAAAATGATTTAAAAAATTATTAATTTAAAGAAAAAAATTTTAATTTTTTTAAAATACTTTTAAAATATAAAAATAAACACAACTTTAATTAGTTTTATAAATGATTTGACGTTTCATCAAATTAAAATAGAGAAATAGAATATAATATATAGAAAACCTGTCTAAGATGGTCACTCTCAAGCTAAATGGTTTATATATATATATTATCGATATCAAAGAGGGAGACATTGATGGCGATTTCAAGAAGCATATATAATAATAAAAAAATATTATCGGTATTAAAGAGGACATTGGTAACGATTTCAAGACTCTTAAAAACTCATTTATTGGCTACCTGGTAGCTCCTGCTTGGTTAGGATTCCCTCTTTTTTGAAGAAATTGCAACTAGTGGTTACAACATAGGCATTCCTTGTGTTTTTAAAAATCTTTTATGTTTTTTATTTTAAGATATTTTTAAATTATTTTTATATAAAAATAAATTTTAAATAATAATAATAATAATAATATTTTATTATATATAAAAAACAATTACTACAATGTTAAAAATTATTATAATTATAAACTCTAGCTCGATTAAACTTAATGATCGTTCATTATAGAGCTTGGGTCATAATTTATTTTAAATTAAATATTTTTTAAATGAAAAATTAATTGCTTTTATAAATAAAAAAAAAGGTTGACTGCATCTATAAACAATCCAAGCCATAATCATATAATGGTTTTATAACTAAAATATAAGCAACAATCCAAATTGTAACCATGCTATAAAATTTCTATATGCATTTGATTAATTTTCTATAACAAAAATACTAAATATAAAAAAAATATAAATATGTATAATAAAAGAGATATATATTAAATTTATATCTTAAAATATCTTAAAAATAAATTTATATATTTTTAATAATATGAGACTTGTCTAATTTATTTGTCTGTTAAAAAAATTAAATAAATGCTACCACAACATGGGCTTTAAATTATCTTAGCTTGGATGTTCAAGGCAAAACAATATTTGGAATACTGATAAATATTATTTTTTAAATATTTTTATGATTTTTAAATATATTTTTTATCTTTTTAAATTTATTTTTGATATTATTGTATAAAAATATTTTTTTTTAAAAAATTAAAAATTAGCAAAACGCAACCGCTGCTCAAAACAATCTATTATACTCATGCCAATAGATCATATTTGGTATTTCTTAACAGTCACAGAAGCTAAAACCCTAAATCAGCGGATGACAAACAAATTACAAAACCCTTTACAACTTAACTCATATTTTTGATAAAAAAAAATGATAAGGAGAAGATTACTCTCTTCATTGCTCTCATCAACCCCACTCTCAACTCCCAAAGCCACCTCAATTTCCACTTTCACTGCAATTCAAACTTTCAAAGACTCAAACTTTGCAAATGGGGTTTCTGGATTTATGGGTTTTAGGGCTTATAGTTTGTTAAGTTTGAATGATTTGAGGGACAATGTGCCAAGGAAGCAGAAGACGAGAAAGGGTCGTGGTATTGGGTCTGGTAAGGGCAAGACGGCAGGGAGAGGTCATAAAGGACAGAAAGCTAGAGGGACTATGAAGTTTGGTTTTGAAGGTGGGCAGACTCCAATGCGAAGGCGTTTGCCCAAAAGGGGGTTTAAGAACCCCTTTAGTCTCACTTTTCAGGTATATTTTCCTGGTCTCTAAGTTCCCCATTCCGTCTATTGTTTTGAATTGGAAAAAAATGGGAACCTGTGGTCTGTTATCTATTGATTTTTAGTTTTTTATTAAGAGCAATGAAGCCTAATTTGCATTTGGTATGAAAAAGTAGCTGTGGTTAAGTGATTGGTAATCGCAGCTTGTCAAAATTCAATTTTTTGTTGTGTTGACGATTTCTGCTGAGATTGATTAGGAATGAAAGCTCTTTTTTTTTTTCCCTTTTTTCTTTGTAGGGATCATAACAGACACGAGGTTAGTCTTGGATTATATGTTAACTTGAAAGAATGCTTAATTAGACGCCCAGAAGATTTTTTGGAGTCGTGTTTTGAGTTTATAATTGTGCTACTCTGCACTACGTTTAAGATGAGATATGCTTGTTTTATGGATGCTAGGATAAAATGTAGGGATAAAGAAAGTGAAATGGAAAAACTCTTCTTTGATGGGATGCAATCTACTGAAAATAGTTGTATTTTGCTGAGTTGATTAATGGCTGTTGTTTTCTCTGGTATCAGATAAAGAAAAACAATCCATAAACATAATTTCAAATTTGTTATATTTATTGCCTTTTTGAATATTGCTATTGATTTCATCCTTTCTTGTAAGTATACTGTAATGGTCTCCATTCTTTTGCTCATTCCTTGATCGTTTACTCCTGTGCTTTCTCTGGCAGCCAGTAGGTTTGGGAAAGATTGCAAAACTTATCAATGCAGGGAAGATAGATTCCCATGAATTAATCACAATGAAAACCCTCAAGGTATGCTAGTGTCCCTCTTCAGATCTCAAATCTAAGCCACTGTGCCATGGTGGGCCTTGGTCTGTGCTGATCATTACAATTATTCCAACAGGATACTGGGGCCATTGGGAAGCAGATAAAAGATGGAGTAAGACTGATGGGACGTGGTGCAGAGAAGATCCAATGGCCTATTCATCTAGAGGTAAATTTTATTTGAAAAGCTTCTGCATTGTTGTCTGAACTTAATGAACAAACAAATTTCTAGAAAGCTGTCAAAAATGTGCTGACTCGCAGATTCTACTTCTTTTACTTGTTGTTCAAATAGGGGAAACAATTAGACAAATTATAAGAATTTTCATTTTACATTAATCAGAGTGTTTGAAACAGGTCACTTAAGCATATATCAATTTTGTGTGATGGAAATTATATGTTTTGCATTTTAAGTACAAGTTAAGATCCAGAATTCAGAGCTAAAACTATTAACTCCTTGGGGATGTGATACAATGCAATTATTGAGAAATTGGATTCGCTATAAACTATGCTAATTCCCGGGAGAGGGGAGGACTTGCTACCTGATTCTAACCATCTGCCCTTCCAAGACTACTAACTACCTAACTGAATTTTCTCACCTGCACTGCTTTTCCTACTAACTATACCAGTTTGTACTGTAACAATGCACCCTGCCGAAAGAACCTTGTCCTCAAGGTTCATTCATTGCTTGGGTTCTGTTTATAGGTACATTCCATTCTATGATTGTACATTTAGAACTTCGTCAAGTGGATCCTTGATTTAAGTACTGAAACTCCAGCTTCAATGTCTTCAAGTTTCCAATCCACTTGGGGCTGGGTTGCAACTGCAATGTTGCATCTGTTAGTGTAGACAGTAGCACGACAACCTTCGGGAAAAAAAAAAGAAAACATTTGCAGCCATGATGTATGTTCTGTGATCAAATTTTCTGCAGTTTCTTTTTCTAATCTTACAATTCCATTGAACCAATCAAGTGACTAAGAGGCACCAAATTTTCAGGAACATTTTGTATTTTCCAAACATTTCAAGGCTTCCAACATAACAGCAAGGTTGTTGCTGCATAAATTCAAGTTCTTGTCGAGCTATAAACCATTTGAAGATAAAAATTTACTGCTTCTTTATCACTGTCAATCTTCCAAAACAAACAAGCCTGCCTGATTTCCTTGATGTCCAAAACAGTTGCTTTTGGAGCTTAAAGCAATTTTGCAACCAAAACATTTCACTGAATTTCATGTTGACAACACAATTTGTCAAGGCTTGATGTCTGATAAAAGAATTGATTGATATTCCAAGCAAGTCACTAGCCTCCAAGGTCAATGTTTCTACACCTTGCCATAGAATATGTATCGAATACCTGATACCATCCAATTCAATTTTCCCCTTTGTTGCAACCTTGAATACAAAAAATGTTATGATTAAACAGACAAGATCACAACCACCTTTAATGCCTGCAATCACTTTTCTGAAAGCATTCCCCATGTTGAATTCTTTCACAACAACAGTCCTTGATTCTTTCATAATTTTTATCCAAGTAATTCATCCACTTAGTTCCAGAACCAAGCTATCATATTTTTTTTTCAATAAATCTTCCAGCTGTAGCAGGTCACTGCCTACTACAGAATGCTTTGCGCAATCAAATGTGTAGAAGCAGAGATAACATTCTTTTGATTTGGAAGAGAACCCATATTTGAATTGGTATACAAGGCTGTCATTGCTCACAAACAAAGAATCTGATGCTTCTTTTTTATACTCTTTTGTGCATAAGCATAACTAGACATAGCCTCCACTTCTTCATGACAATCCTCGATTCTAACACCATTCCCTGTAAAATCTTGACCAAAAAACCCATCCTCCAAAAATTACATCCCTCAGAATACCACAAATTGAACCCCAAAATCATCACAATGCTGCCGTTGATTCCTAATATCAATTAAATGCTCTTGTTTAGCTTTATCAATAGCATCAAGAACAAATTGACCTTATCTTGATTAACAACTACATTATCTTCCACGTTTTGACAATCTTGTAGTAACAAACCTTCAACAAATTTATTCTCAATGGCTAATTCAGTTTCCAGGCATTTCTTAAACTGGATTTCAACAGTTTCTTTGATATCAGACCCGATGCAATCAGTTCCTAAAGAAATCCCATCCATGTTCTGATTTTTAGCAAAGAACTTAGAGCAATGATCATCTTTTATCCTGTATTTCATCAAGGCCCACAAAATTAATCGAATCAACAGCTGTAATATAGGACTTGGATTCAATCCGACTTGATTATTGGGTATGCAAGGAAGATTCTCATTCTCTAATCTCTGTTTCCTGTTGATTCATCAATGGCAGCATCTCCTTATCATCATTAGTGCTTTCATCTTGCAACAGCCTCTCCAAACTCTCAAGAATCTCATCCTTTAACTGATTAAGCTTCAAAGTCGATTCTTGAGCGATCTGCTTCGAATCTTTATCCAACACTGCTGGGTTGAGAGACTTTGATACTGAATTCTGATCAGATTCTTGATTCTGCTGGGTTGCGAGACTTTGTTATGCAAGTCTTTGACACTGAATTCTGATCAGATTCTTGATTTTGCAAGCAGGAGCGATGGTGCTTGCCACGGCTTGAATTCACTTCAACACTTTCTAATTGTGTCTCCCCAAAACCAGGTTGTGAAATTTAGTATCTAATATCTAATCTACAACACCCATCATAAATGCATCTTCCATGAAGGGAAGTTGTAGCTGATAGTGCATTCTGAAAGGATTGAAAATAGACCAGAGAAAGCCCTTCAAACTCCTCAATTCAGGGCACACAACCATATGGTGCAGGACATCTTTTGTAATAAATCTGGCAATGAACCCTTCCTTAAGGAACTTCCATTCTGGCCTTCAAGATTTACAGACAGTAGAGATGTTTAGATATGAATAAAAAGGAATTGAGCAATTAATGGCCAAGGATGAACTACCCTGCTACCAATTGATACAATCCAATTATTGAGGAGTTGAATTAGCTATAAATATGTCCCAGAAGAGGGGAAGAGGAATATCAACCAATAATGGTAGGAAACAGGAAGAAATCTTATTGGTTGAAATAGAGAAAGTGACAGGAAAGAGAATTCAGAGAGAAGGAACCACAAATGCCAAAAGATACCTGGAACCCTAAGCTAAAGTACTTTTTATAATTACTACAAACCATGTAGGACTTGATAGTTGATTCTAACCATCTCCCCTTTCAAGACTACTAACTAATTGAATCTTCTCATCAATACTCTTTTCCTACTAACTATACCAATTTGTACTGCAACAGTGTCATGGAATTTCTTGACATTTTTACTATACCAATTTGTACTGTAACAGTGTCATGGAATTTCTTGACATTTTTGCTGAAATTGATTAAACTTATGCTCATAAATGATGTATACAGGTGTCAAGAGTTACTGTCCGGGCGAAGGAAGCAGTTGAAGCTGCTGGTGGATCCGTCAGACGAGTGCATTACAATCAGCTGGGTTTCCGGGCATTGCTTAAGCCTGAGTGGTTTGAAAAGAAGGGCAGGTTGTTGCCGAAGGCTGCCAGGCCTCCACCAAAGCTGAAAGATAAAGTTGATAGCATAGGCCGCTTGCCTGCCCCGACCAAACCTATTCCTTTTTACACTGAAGAAAAGGAGGCAGCCTCTGCTCCTACCTAGTTGATCAAACAATCATTTTGGGGTCAGAGTGTATTTTGATGAAGTACTTAACAAGCCTGCACAACCCTCCCCCCCCAACAACAACAAGGTCTTCAATTGCATTCTATTACCCCCCCCCAACAACAAGGTCTTCAATTGCATTCTATTTTCACATGCTTTCCATGAATCATGCAGTGTTTAACAAGTGAATCCGTGGAAACCTCCATTTTGATGGGCTCTTAAAGAAATAAGGGAGACCTTTTGCGATGTAATTCTAGTTTTGCAATCTTCTGGAGCACAGATTTTTCTTCCAAACAAGAACAAGTTGTGAATGGGTTGAAGTAGGCAATGGGTTCTTTAGTTATCATTTTGTGACAATTTTGACGAGTTTGGTTCCAAACCAAAGCGTCCAGTGGCCTCTTATTTTGCAATTTATTGTTTCTTTAAATCTTGTATCGAAAATAATACGGACACTAGAAATACAGAAACTGCAATCCCATCTTCGTTTGCTCGTCATGTCAGCTGGTAACTTTTCTTGGGAGGGTAGCCACAATTCAACATCCACCCGCCCCCCCCATATCCTGGTGATGTGACTAGCTATCACCTTATCATCTTCTGACCGATCAGTCCATTGGGATTGCTTCTGATAAGTGATTTAAAAAAAAATTTAAAAAATTAAATTATATTATTAATATATTTTTTTAAATAAAAAATATTTTAAAAAATAATAATAACTACATTTCCAAACATATTCAAACCCCGTTGCCATAGCAGTGGATGCATAATACTTTGGTATATCTGGAAAAAATGAATCATATAAGCTACGTGCATGCTCTGCTTCTTGCTCTTTCCAACCATTTAGTTCATTTACCATCCAAAATATTGAAAAAAAACCCCTCGTTTTCATCGATATTCCGAACAATGCTGCGTACTTTCTTGTCATCAACAAAAGAATCCCACCAAATTATCAATGAAAATCATTTCTTTTGTAGTTTAGAAATTAAACAGGCTCCAAACACAAGCATACAATGATATATAACTAGACACCGAGTTCTCTAGGCAAATCGTTCTTCATAACAAGGACCAGACTTTTTATCTTGCAATCCTGTGATCTGTTTTGTTACATAAATCCTATGATCTGTTTTGGTGCATCTATTTTACAAAGACATAATTTTATATTCCCGTGGATTCAGGCGACTGCCACCCAGAGTTTAGTTCAATGATCAAAGTCACTGTTAACTTATCCTGATTTAAATGCTTTGTCAAAGTCACTGTTTTGTAGCGTCTGTCCACGCTTCCAAACACCTATAAACAGAGTTGTTCAAGAAGAAAAATCTATCAATCGAGAACTTGTTCCATTCCATGCATCGAAAAATAACATGCTTAGTGGTATGATAAAACTGAATTCGTACTTGAGCTCACCAATTTCACCACCCCAAGCTCAGCAGATGCAGCTTCATCAGGAGCTCACAGGGGAAGCATTTTCCCGTTTTGGGGATTGAAAGAGAGGTGGAGTTTCTAACTTTTCAATGCATAGGTAATGCGAACATTTTGACGTTGTAAATCCAAGCATCGTAAATGCTGCATAGTTTATAAATTTACATAAACTTCAGTGCAGAAAAAGTTTCTGCCAATAATCAAACACTTATCAGATACCTATGATCAATCTGAAGGGAATGAACTATAAGAATCATATGTAGCTTTGCTCGGCAAAGGCACCCAATAGGGAAATCGGAGTTTCTTACTTTTCTCCTTTATTAGAGAGTGAAACATTTGCCAATGCTGAGACTGTAGTTTACACCATTCTGTGAGGTTTAGTGCCTTTATGCCCAGGGAAGATTTTCAATTTCTTTGAAAATATGGGAGATGAGCAGGAATGAATGCTCAAATATCAAATGTTGGAACTTCAGCATCAAAGCCATGAGAGGCCTGGTAAGCTAACCGGGCCAATATATTCCTGTAAGGATCACTCTCTCTTTTCTCCTTCAGAAAAGCAATGCAGTTTTCCACCTCAGATTTGACATGTAAGTATAATTCATGAGCTTTTTCGCGGTCTCTTAATTCCTGCTTCCTCCCTTCAGCACAAAATTGAGAATTCAAGTCAGTACTCTACTGCCATTAAGAATATGTAAAAAAAAATATTGCAAAATTTCTACCACTGTTACTCAAATGCTGTTTTTAATTGAACATTCTTGGACAAGTTCATAAAACAGTTTTTGCAGCTTTCTTTATAATTTTAGGAATAAGGCACTTTCATTACTCGGAGCTGATCTTGAACTTCTTGAGAAATGCGGACATGAAGTAGCAACAATAGGTGCGGGTACTGTTTTAGACATGATATTGGCAAGGTGCAGAAGCATATATTTAGGCTGGCTAGAAAACCTTGGTGTATAGTGTTGGCACATGTTTTTTCTGCTACCTCCATGATTATTATTACTATGCAGAGAGTCAATGCTAACGAGTTGTCCGATGACCATACCTTCTGTTTCGATTGGTTTCCCAAAATAGTAATAGAACCTGCCTGGGAATTTTGGTACAATTCCTACATGGTGCGGATCTTGTTGTCCCACCTCACCATCCGCTTCAGTCCTATCAGCAAAACAATATGAAAGATCTAAACATTGAAGCAGTCAAGTAAAAGAAAAAAAATTTGGAGCCAAGAAGATAAACTCAATATGGGGAGATTTAATGGAAGGAAATCAAGGAAAACAAAGATTCAAATACCTCAAGCTCACAACCTCTTCTGATAATCCTTTTATGTAATCCCTAAGGAAAGGAATCTTCATTTGATCATCATAATCAAATACCACCTGAAAAAACATGAATACAAGCTATCAATTATTATGAGACTAGCCCAGCTTGATTTTAATTGACTGTAAGAGAATGTGTCTGATATGAGCCGAACACAAGGCTTAGTGTTAACATGGATACACCAGAAAAGAGATAGCAAGAAAAAGTTCATGCACAGAATTTCTGCAAGTGCACTCTAACTGATATTGAGAAATCTAGCCTTATACTACATTGTTATAAAACTTGTGAGTTATAAAAAAAAATTTGTGCTTTCTTTTTAATGTCTCCTTTGGGCTTCCCAAATAATAAGAAGTCAAACATGCTCTGATGACAAATGCACACAAAAATATACATGCCCTTAGGGTCAAGATTTTGAGTAAAGAGCATTCGCCACAGAGCAAGATATATTCCATTGGCAAGATAAAAATAAATAAATCATAATGTGGCGCATCTATATGCAAAAAAGTGATGTGAATCAATCAGATAGAAATGAAGTCCTTAAGACTTACTTCTCCAAAATCATCCTCTCCAACAACACCAAATGGCACAATTTTGGCTCCAAACCTAGATGCCATTCTGACAAACTCTGACTTTTCTGGCCAGAATAACTTGTATTCTTCACCCTGAATAGCATGAAGAGTCAATCATTTGCAGAGCTATTTCAATTTGTTTATATATGTTAAGTCCGTTTTCTCTTAGTGGCCAAATGGACCATTGCCACTTCATTATATTTTCGTATTCTTTGAAACAAATTAGTTCTCTTTTTATTCTTGGAAGGCAAGTAGAATAGTAGAAATATGTTATTTTACTCTTGTATAGTCTTGCGATTGTTAGATTCAAGATTCAAACTTAAAAGAACATAAAATTAAACTTAGTTTGAAATGTAAAACCGCCTATCTCAGTAAAATGCATCCATCAGAAGCATTACCTTCCGATGAAAGGCCTCCCGCATTCCTCCTGGGTATAATAGCGCATGAGCCTTTGAAGACATAAGTTTGTAGAAATTACTTCCTGAAACAGGAACTGCACCCATAGTTCTGACCACATCGAATTGTTGCAATGGAGGCATCATCCCCTCTTTCTTCAATTTCACGTACAGCATTGGATGTGTTATCCCTCTTACAAGAATATTTCTTTCCAACAAAAAGTTGGATATCAATGGGACCACTTCAAATCCCATTAGCATGTGATAACCAACATACAATACTGGTCCTTCTGAAGGAAGTCCAGCAAGGCCCCTCACAATCTTCCCATCTTGAAAATATGAGAGCATCACAGGACTTGTGGCCAGCATAAACAATCTAAAACATAGTAATAATTATGAGAAATTGTAGTAGAAGCAAACATAATTTCAGGACTCATTTAATGATGAGGACTAAAGCAAATTTCAGGATGGCTTTAACCATATACAAATCAATGTTGCATAATACATTGCACAAACCCTACCAAGAAATGATCTTCAAATTAATGCTTGAGAAGAAGTTGATATAAGCATATTATTTCCCATGCCCACTAATGTCAAGCCAACAATAGACTGATGAAGTTAGAGAAATTGTTTCCCTGTCCAACTGATAGAAAATATACCTTTTATATGTAAGACAGTAAAGTAGGGCTACCTGTTCGAATCATATAATTTTTTGAATTCAGGAGGGGTTGGTGGTATGTAATCTGATATGTAGTCAAGATGCTTTCCACGACGATAGCAACTAGCTCCTTTGATGATATTTGCCAAATCAACATCATGTTCCTGCCACAAATAGGTATAAATATTACAAAGTGTAATTACAAGGAAACTTGAAAGATAACATACTGAAACATGATATCTTTTCAGTGCATGGCCAAGGATAGATGAGGGTGGGAGAAATTATCTTACCAAGAAGAGGAAATGACCACTGTCGTTAAACTTGCGAATCTCACATTTTGGGAGTGCAACATAAAGCCTTTGACCTTCTTCTTCACTTGGAAGAAGCTGATCTCTTCCACTGAGGAAAGGCAAACAACAAATCAGACTCTAAGCAGCAAAGGTGCTAGTATGCAGGAAACACAACAAAAATAAATTTATGGAAGTTAGAACTCCAATTCTAGAAGCAAATGTATTTGGATTTTCCATCGATTTAAATTCAAATGATATGGAAATGACAATGCCTAGTTACTGTTTATGATGTCATAGTTTATATTATAAACTTCATAAAGGAGAATTTTTTATTGTTCTAATTGAAAATTTTATTGTTCATGGATTAGCTAAATAAAGATGCATTCAGTAGAGTTAAAGCTGGGTGCTAAATAATAATTCTCGTGCTTTTGTTGCTATTTAGCTATTTAAACAAGTTTGAAAAAGAGTTGAAACATTTCTACAACTGACATTTGATAAATTATGTATGAGAAACAGACCTAGAAAGGACAAGTGTTTGAGATTTCACAGCATGGAGGCGTGAATTGGCATATGCCGAAGCTGTTTTAAGCATCTGTAGCTTCCAAAGAAGGGTTTCTGTAGGTAATATATTAGCCAGAGCCTGCAACGGCTACGATCAGTTTCTTTCCACAAGAGTAACACCACATGAATTGGTGTAAGCACCAGCATAAGAAAAGTGAAGACAAGATGACACCATCATCTTACATAAACTTTTAGATGTCAGCTAGGCTATATATTTTGATTAATTTCTCTTTATGATCAGTTTGAAATATGGCCTGGCAATGCCATGTTCATAAATATTACAGGAGACACTTAAGAGTTGATGAGAAGTCAAGTGAAACCGGTCTTTTGTAGTTTCATTAAGATTGTACTATTGTTTTTCAAACAAGTGTAATTTATATCGATGGGGTTAGCATGTCCTAAAGTGAAATCTCACGTTGAGGTAAGATGACATTGCAACCAAATCTTGTGATAATCCTCCAATTGTTTGTTCTAGAGGAAATCCCTTCACTGCATTATCCATGGCCATCCTCAAAGAATCACCTAGAAGGATGGAACATAATTGCTGGTGTAAGCAGGATCAAATATTGTATACATGGAACTTTATTTTCCATGATTTATTGAGTTATCAATATTCAGATAATAACAAGCAAATGGGAAAAACAGAGAAAAATAAAAATCCACCAAAACTGCAAAACAAGACGGTAAACCACACTATAAAATCAAATTGAGCTTATTAAGCTTGATATTTAGCCCTGTATCTTTTTGTTGGATTCCATTGGGTGGTGAGCTATCCTAAACTGTAATCTCTGAGGTGGTTATTTTTTCTGTATCTCTAAAGGGTTGAAGAGAAAACCTATCCTTCATTCATCCTTCCTCCACATTTTCATTTACATCATCCAAACTAACCAGAAATTTGTTGGCACCGGCCTCTGAATTTTTTCAGTACCAGTAGAGAAGCATAATAATATAAAACTCTTCAGCTACACCTCCATGCCCAAGTTTCAGCTCACTTCCAAGTAAACCCTCTTTGATTTATGGATTTACATAACTGAGCACCTACTCTCAAGTTTCAATCAATAGAGGACCATGTAAATTGTTTTCCAATTTTCACGATGAAATCGGATAAGGATATTCCAGGAAGCCAGAGCTACTAAGGGTGGATTGCAAGGTTATTTTTAGGAAAATCGAAAGACCCCCCCAATAAATCAAAAGATTAACCAACAAAATCTTATAGAACTAATCAGAAACTTGTATTACAACTGACACCAAACATCAGTTTGTATGCAGAACAAAATATTGCATAAAGCGTTTACTTTTCAAATATTTTGGTATGGTCAATATTACCCCTTTTCTAAAAAATAAACAGGTTGTTTTACCTCTTAGCATAATCAAATATCTATTTGAAGCAACAAAAGATATCAGGAAATATAACTCTAGTGGACAAGGTGAACCTGTCATCAAGCTCAACATATAAGGAATGGTAAGCTGGTGCTGGAAGGGTAAGACTTCCAATAAGGGTATTAGAGGCTGCAGCTGTGACTTCTCAAAAGACGTTGCTGCAATAAAGCATCAAGCAAAAATCATATGTAACTGAGCAAGATGAACAACCTCTTCTAAATGCATATGCGATTATTGGACTAAATCTAAGCTTTTCTTCTCATGATTTAACAGAGAGCTCTGCTTTACATTAATTATCCAAAGTTAAAGATCCATTTTTATTATTCATCGGCATAAAAAAAATCCATTTATTTGTTCTGTCATGTAGGTCCTTGCTCATGTTGATTCTCTATTACCTCCTCCCATAGATATGGGGAAAGTACTGATTGTCTCAAATTTCATTAGATGATAGATAAGGTATCAATTTTTCACCTGGATTAGCCAAAACAAGTACAAGATCAACATCAGGGTTACGAGCTGCGACAGCCAGGGCAAGACATGCTCCAAGAGATTCTCCAGCAAGATATATAGGTCTATCAGGGAAACAGTAACTCTCTGATCTTACTGTCCTTTCAATAAGCTTCACTAGGCCTGAATCATGAGAATCCTGTTAAAAATTGCTTATACAAATACAAGAGCTCATCTCTATTACAAATAACACGTATCAAACAGGTTACAGGGTATAAAAAACTACCTAGAAAGGATGTTCTGTCCTTAACTGGAATATGCAAGCACCATATGTCGAAAATCCTAGTTTCAAGAAGAGAGAAAAATCATACATTAACCAGCATAGCCATTAACGTAAGGCAGAATATGTGGACAGGAAATGGAAAGTCATGTAATGATTATGTTGGTTTTGGATGATCCACAAAAAAACAAAAAAAAAAACTGATGTAATAGTGTCAAGGTATCTGAGGAAATACTTACTTCCCTAGAGTATTGTGCTGCTTGCTAAGTCCTAGTCCAATACCATCAATCCCTGCAAAATTCAGAATCTTTTACTTAACAGTTGAAAGTGTTTTTTTTGGAACCGCAACTGTAGAAGTTTGAACTGACTAATTTGAAAGGGAGAAATGAAAATCCAGTACAAACAGGCTGAAAACTTGAAAATGGAAGTGCCATCAACATTGCATAGACTTCACAGTCCTAAACTACAAGATTTTAAATTTAGATATAAAAAGTGAAATTTCAAAAAACAAAAATAAAAATGATTGAGGACTAATATACAATCCAAGGTCCAGCAAGCCTGATTAACTAAACTAGAGAAAAGAAAAAAAAGGTTTGCATCATTCAACAATCATTAAACCTTGTGTATTTTTGTAAACCAGAGTTAAGTCCATGTCCCCATTACTTTTTTGTTCTTTTTTTTTCACGACAATATGGGGTATCATCTAACCAGCTTGTCCATCAACATCAACTGAAACTAAATTCTCTTTTCAAATAATTTTAAAGATGCGGTGATTAAGAGAGAGAGAGAGAGAGAGAGGAAAGCTCTCTTACCGTAATGGAAAGGAAACTAAATCTTCTACAAGGATGGCAGTCGAATTTCTACTATATTTCTACCTTTTTCGTTTTAAGAAAACTAAAATATGAAGATTTAGGTATTCATATAATTATTCAAGTACCATCTACATGCAATACAAAATAAAATAAAATAAAATAGCGATATCGTCCACACACGTGATTTTAAATTAGATTTGACAATACATATACTCTATCTATTTACCTATTAGCTAAGGTAATTATCTAAAAAAACCCATCTATCAAGATCAATTTGAGCTGGCATCCGTTAGGTTTGAATTAAATTTACATTACTACCTTCCAATAATTACTTTTATTAATAAAAAGAAAGGTTAAATTGAATATCAACATTGAGAAATTGATGAGAAATTCTTAAAATTCTACTAATCCCTCTCCTTTTCATTATGAGAAAAAAATATTGAAATCTATTTTTAATTAAACATAATCATCATTAACCATTCAAATTCAAATTCAAATTAAACCAACAATCAATAAAAATAAATTATCTTTTTTTTTATTAAGAGTTGTAAAGAAATACTAGATTATTTACCCATGAATTTTCTTTTTAAGTTAAGAAATATTCAAATATTGATAATATGTTTTGAAAAAAATAAAAATTAAATTACGTTGATATAACCTAATCTATTTAGATTTAACTTATTAAACGTGAATCATGAAACCGTATGAATCTAATAGAAAGAAAATAAAATTAAAATAAAATAAATTATAAAGTTTAATTCTTAATTAATTTAATATTAAATAATAAAATTTAAAAATAAAATAAAAATCTGAGTCAACTAGATTTAACCTATCAAATCGTTGATTTAAGTAATGAAACTAAAATAATATAATAAAAATAAATCAAAATAAATTATAAAGTTTAATTGCCAATCAATCTAAATAATAAAGGATAAAATCAAAAAAATAATTATAAAAAAACTAAAAAATCCTAATCAAACTTATTTGATAAAAAATATGATTTAAATTATAAAATTAAAATAAAAAAAATATTTTCAATAAATCTAATAATCAAGATAAATTAAAAAAAAAAGAAAAAGAAAAAGAGAAGGGGAAGGGGAAGACATCTACTCAATTATTTCTCGTTGATTGTGGAATTAAGAGGATTAATAAAATAAATTATAAAGTTTAATTCTTAATTAATTTAATATTAAATAATAAAATTTAAAAATAAAATAAAAATCCGAGTCAACTAGATTTAACCTATCAAATCGTTGATTCAAGTAATGAAATTAAAATAATATAATAAAAAATAAATCAAAATAAATTATAAAGTTTAATTGCCAATTAATTTAAATAATAAAGGATAAAATCAAAAAAATAATTATAAAAAAACAAAAAAATCCTAATCAAGGTTATTTGATAAAAAATATGATTTAAATTATAAAATTAAAATAAAAAAAATATTTTCAATAAATCTAATAATCAAGATAAATTAAAAAAAAAAGAAAAAGAAAAAGAGAAGGGGAAGGGGAAGACATCTACTCAATTATTTCTCGTTGATTGTGGAATTAAGAGGATTTTTTTGGGCTTTTTCATCAATTTCTATTATTTAGAGGTAAATTCGAAGAATCATATTGTTTAGGATGAAAAATCAAGAATGTTTTTGGTTCAGGGAGGTGTTCGTTTTTGAAATAAGTACGGTTCAGGGGGCATTTTACGATTTGACGAAGTTGTTATTCTTATAAAAGGAAACTTTCCGCTTTCCAGTAAATTTGTAATCTACTTGTGTAAATAAATATTAGCTAATCTAATATAATAATCAAATAATAAATTGGCAAAAAAGGACTGACCAGGCAAAAATAGAAGAAGAGGAGAGTTATCCAACCGGGATCCACACTCCATCGGAGAGAACCACCGTGGCGGGCCGCCACCACCACCACCATCTGATTTAGCAATAAAATTCTTCGACTCCTCAAAATAATCCTCCAAGCTTTTTCTACTACTTCTCAACTCCATCTCAGTTTTCTCTAACTCCAGTGCATACAGATTCTTTTGCTTCTCTTTCATTCCTTCTCCTTCTTCACTCTCCTTCAACCTTCCATTGCTTACATGATTTCTCATTGTCGTTTCATTTCTCTCCGTTGTCGTTTCAGTTGATATCGCCTGCTCTGTTGAAACAGCCAAACGACGAGCCGTATTTGATACATGATTCAGTTATAATATTTATATCAAATTATTTTATTTAATGAAAACGTTTATATTTAACATTTTTATTTTTTAAAAATTCATAAAAAAATAGATTAAAGTTGGGGTTAATTTTTAATTTCGAGTTAAATTTTATGTTTTAGAAAGTTTTTTAAAATTATATATAAATTTATCATAATTTTTAAAATATTTTGAATAAAAAAATTTAAAAAATAAGTTTTAAAATTAAAAGAACCTTAAGTCTGATTTTTTTTACTATTAACTGAAATTTGAATAAAATAAATAATATATTATCTAATTTTTTTTAAAAAAATAAAAAAAAATAAAATAAAGGGGTGACATGACTTCCTTCCGGGTGCAATTAAAAATAAAATCATCCTATTATGCTGGTTGTAATAAAATGGTTGGTGGGTACCCAGATTCAATGATATCTATTTTTTTTTTTAATTTTGTTATTTCAACTAATATCTTTTTTTAAAATATTTATATTTACATTGATATCTTTTTTCTTTTTTATTTTATTTTAAAAATCTTTTTTAAATAATAATAATTTTTGGTTATTTATTTTCAGATGATATTTCTAATATGTATAGCTTTATATAATATTATTTTGTTATTTTATTTAATTATTTTAATATATTTGTTTATTATCTTTTGATTAAGTAAAAATATTTTAATAAATAAAAATTAATAAATATGATTTTGTAAATGTCCTATTTTACGAGATTAAATATTTTAATTTTTATTTATTTTTTAATTTTTCAAATTTTATTTTTAGATGTTGTTAATGATTATTTATTTATTTATTTATTAGTACATATGGTTCTTAGTTTATTTGATTAAATTTGTATATAAATTTTTTAATTTATTAGATTTTTAAATTATAAAAATACATAAAAAAAACTTACAGATATAATTTTTTATAAAAAAATAAAAATATTTAACCCAAAAGAAGATTAAAGGTGAGAAATTTAAAGTGTGTTACAGTTGTTATGATTATTCTTTTAGGCTTATAATAATAATAATAATAATTGGATGATTATTAAGTAAATAAATGAAAGAATTAGTAGCCTTATAATTTTTTTTTTCTCCCGAAGATAGAAAACTGAAATGAATAAAGCTTATTTATTTAGATATGAAGCCAACCAATTTATATATAGAATGAAATAAGCTTGTAGAAAAATGCCTAAAAAGTATTTGATAATAATTTTATATAAAAACTAAAGATATCTAAAATATAAAAACCATTTTTTACAAGAGAGATAGCTGCCACTCTTTTTTTTTCGTTGACAGGTCTGCTATCTTGATGTTTCAAACAAGAGATCTGATAATTGATTATCTAAAATATTCGTAAAACTTTTATAACAGTACAAAGACTCATGAATGAATTCTTATAATTTTTTTTAATTTTTTTTTGAGAGGTTGAATGAATTCTTATATTTGTTCTTAGTTTTAAGGATCGGATCTTGTGTCGTCTCCTTTTGGACTTTGCAAGCTTGTTCAACCACAAGAAATGCCAGGGAAGTGATTAATAGAACAATCCGTTTCTTTAATCATAAAAAATAAAGAAACTCAGAATGCAAGACCCATCCATGAGTGCTTTGATTTCACCGTAAATATGTATCTGGAATCATTGCTAAGTGATTTTGCAAAGGTAAGTTTTGAAGTGACGATAATTTTAATTTCTTACTAGTGAAAGTGATTTTTAGAACCTTCCATTCATGTGCCATCAAAATAATAATGGCATATGGAACCCAAGATTCATGAGTTCTTGATTCCACCGAGGAGTAGATTTTCCCCCCTTTTTCTCATTTTATTTCAATGGTTTTGATTAGTTTTATTAAATTCAGCTTAGTGTTCATGAGTAGATCCAAGATTTAAGTTAAGGGCTGGGTGGATCAACCTAGATTCACTTAATTAATTTAAAATAATATTATTTTTTTAATAGAAATCAAGTAATTTTCGGGGTTGATTGGGTTGACTAAGTCATATGTACATCTAAGAGTTTAACTCATGTATGATTTCACATTGAATAAACTTGGACTAGGTCCTTAATTAGTAGATCACAGAATTGACTATTTAGAATGGGTCGAATTTAATAATCTTGGTTTTTATTTAAAAATTAATAAATGTGGTATCTACTTATACATTTCATAACACGTAAAGGGTATTTCATATCATTTTTTTAATTATTTTTTTTATTTTTAAAAAATGATAATATGTTAGATTGTTTAGTATTGTAGTAGTTTCTGTTTTTTATTTAATAAAAAAAAAATTGGATAGTTAGTCAAATAGTTTTTGTTTTTTATATATAATTATGTTTCAAATGTTGATTTTATAGAAGCTAAAATAATATATTTTTTATTTATAAAAACCTAAGTTTTATTTATTTTACATATAAAAATTTATTTTTTATTAGTTTTAACTAAATATATATTTAATTTATTTTGCATAATTTTCTTTTCATTTTGTTTCTCAAAAAATAATGAATCAATGGATTGTCTTAGTTGAATACATAGGTTTTTTACATTGTATGCTAACAAGTGAGTTATTTTAGATCTTATTTGGCATTGTAATTCAACCATGTTTTTAAAATTTTATTTTTAATTTTTAATTAATTTTTTTATTATTTTTAAATTGTTTTGATGTGCTGATCTCAAAAATAAATTTAAAAAATAAAAAAAATATTATTTTAATATATTTCAAAATAAAAAAATACTATAAAAAATAAAAATACTAAATATATAGCATAATCAACTAGGCCGTTGCCAATACCTTGTCCTACATCACATAGATCAACTTTCGGGGCAGAAAGCTTCAAGCCTAAACCCTAAGTCCATCGCAATTATCTTACTTGACCTCAAATTATTTGATTTTAGCTTAACTAATTAGATAAATGGCAAGCAAAATATGTTAAGATAATATAAATATTTTTTTTAAAAAAAATATAATTTTTTGATTATTAACTTGAGATAAAAAAATAATAATTATTTTTTTTATTTAACATTAGCGAGTAAAGTTTTTGTGATTTAACAAAACTAGCCAATTTACTTAATATTATTAGAAGTTATATTTTTAATCCTTTGTATTTCTGAATTGGTTTATAGTCCTTTTTGGGGTCAATTTTTTTTTAAAATTTACTTTCTTGTTTTCTTTCTTGAAAAATAGAAAAAAGAAAAGAAATTTGATGTAATGAAAATTTTTGATTACAAAATAAGGTATTTTTGAATAATAAATTACTAAATTGATGATCATCAACATCAATCAAGGGACTATTTAATTATTTAAAATTCTATAAAAACTAATTAATTAGTTATAATTAACTCATTAATTAGTCCGAAGAACATGAATCAAATAATCTAAGAAGGAAATAATCCTAATAAAAAAATTATATTAAAGGTTAAAATCAATTTCAATCAGGCAAGAAGTAGATAACAAAAAAGTTGAGCAGAAAGAGGTGTGGCAAGTTGAGGTAACTCCCAACACTCATGCCTTCCTCGCTTTAAGATTCTAGAGATGAGTGGAATGGGTAACTGTAAAATGTATAGGCAATGAGTTCTATAGCAGTGGCGGCAGTGTAGCAGTATTGTTTCCAGCACTAAAAGAATTCAGTCTGTTCGACATGGATGGTCTTGAAGAATGGATGGTACCAGGTGGAGAAGGTGATCAAGTATTTCCTTGTCTTGAAAAGTTGAGCATATGGAGGTGTGGCAAGTTGAAAAGTGTTCTGATATGTCGTCTTTCATCTCTTGTAGAATTTGAAATTGAAGATTGTGATGAATCGAGATGTTCATGTGGTCAATTTCATGGCTTCACGTCTCTTCAATTGCTGAGGATACGGTGGTGCAAGAAGCTGCCATCCATTCCAAGCGTACAACACTGCACAACTCTAGTGGAGTTGAAAATAGATGGCTGCCCTGAGTTGATCTCAATTCCTGGTGATTATGGATTAGAGATCGTGGTAAGCTCATCAATTGTTTGGCATGGTTTACGACAATTGTGTTCTCTTGTTTATTGACAAAAAAATGTTTATGTTCCAAGAATATCATGATATTTATTAAAAAATAATTTTAGATCAAATTATCATGAGATTAGATCGAGATATCATTTAATAGATAGATTAACGAGTTCAAAACATTATAGATTTTAATTCATAAAAAATGTATACCAGATCGGAGCCAATAGTGAAATTGAAAATTTGAACTTATTTTTAACTCCGTAGGAGAAAGGAAATACATTTGTTCGTCACCAAGTATGATTTAGACCACGCATCTGGTTATCTTTATGCCAGGGAAAGCTATTTGATCTTCTTTATAGAAAGCAAACTTTCTTCGAGCAGAGCAATCAAATCTCAAATGTTGGAACTTCAGCAGTAAAACCGTGCATGGCCTGGTAAGCTAATCTGGCCACTACGTTCCTGTATGGATCGCTTTCTCTCTTGTCCTTCAAAAAAGCAAGGTTTTTCTCCACCTCAGATTTGATTTGTAAGTACAGTTCTTGAGCTTTGTCCTTGTCCCTCAGTTCCAGCTCCCTGCCTTCAAAACATGTCAATTGTTAAAGTCAACACACTGCGTTAGCTTGGACAAGATGAGGTATGTTCGTTTTGGCTACGTCCACAACTGTCTCTTCTATTAAAAGATGATGATTTTCTTGTGTGAAGATGGCCATACCTTCTGTTTCAATCGGTTTTCCAAAATAGTAATAGAACCTGCCAGGAAGTTTTGGTAGAATCCATGGATAATGCATATCTTCGTTTCCCAGCTCACCGTTTATTTGAGCCCTGTCATCACAAGAAAGTGAAAAATCCGAAACATGCTAACAACGTAAAGACAAACATTTAGAACGAGGACAGATCTTTATTTATAAGGTAGTGGAATGTTCTGATTGAAGTAAAAAGAAATGAAAATGAAAACTCAGCACCTCACTTTGATTCCCTCTTCTTCTGTGTATCTTCTAATGTCTTCTCTTAGGCAAGGAAACTTCATTTGATCATCATAATCAAAAATCACCTG